GAACTTGGCCAATATCCAGCCATCTTGACCTCACACTTGGTCAATGACCCATATTTATTTCCATTATTGAGTGCAGAACATAAACAGGATTATTCAGGGTAATTGCAGTGAAAGTCTGTACTCCGGTTAACCTGAACATCACTCCGGTTAGACTGAATATCATTCTGGTTACCCTGTTTATGGTAAGCTCTCAATGATGGTAATGGTAACAAGATTCATTTAAAAATTCTACAGCCTGCAGTCTACATTTTACCCTTTGGTCTGCATTTTTGATGGGGGTGTGAAACCCAAACCTTGAAACCTGTATCCTATTTCAGACCAAAATCTGTGATTTTCCATACCCTATTTCAGACCTCTTGAATTAGTACAACATTTGAGAAGGGCTACAAATCTGCCAAATACCCAATGCCAAGCCTGGGTGAAAACATTCAATATTTCAGACCAAAATGGTCAAAGTCTATACCCTTTTCCAAATCAAAATCACTCAAAAATGATACCCTTCAGGGCCGCACATACCTATATTGCCTATATAAGGGAGTGCCTTTTCCCCCGTCCCCGGACTAACATTAAATGAAATATATAGCATCCATTCCAACCCACTGAGTCTATCTAAATCCTTTGCAATATATTTGAGCAACTTAAATGTCTATGAACGTCTAAAATAGAAATCAATGCAGCTGCAACACATCTGCACATCACAGAGATCAGGTAAAAATCTGACTAGCAAGCTTACACTGTATGTAACTTGCAACGTAAGCTTCAACAAACATCCCGATTTAATAGTCATCAATCTAGTCCAGATAGATCGATCCAGAAGGCATAAGAATACCTGAACACCCCCAGAAGTTAAAGAAAAATAGTGCTAAAACAACTGGGAAATCTTCCCAATCAGGTTAGATAAATGTATTTATCCAAAAGTAACAACAGACCGTTACGCTACTCACATTTGCAAGGTTGGAGTCCGTCAGAAGACCACGCTTGGAGAGCAAATTAACCAGTTTCGTTTTTATCTCTACTGGAAGAAATCCCAACGAGGTTTCGTGGTCTGGCAACTGACTAGCTACTGCTCTAAGACAATGATTTTGTAAACTACTCACCACTGCAAAAACCGCCATATTTTGTATTGTAATGGGTGGCAACCGCAGTAAAGGATGCTTTGTACGGGGGCTCATTTTAGAACCAGGCGCCAGTCTCCCTAATCTATCTCCTCACATGTCCATTTCACGTTACCAAAGATGTCGTCCCACTTGGATCGTAACCCTGGAGTGCCGCTGGATTTAGAGTGGGTAAGCAGGGCAAGAGTTAATCTTCCTGCAGTTAAACGACGCGCAGACACGCTGAAAATTCGCCGATCGGTAAAGAAGCAGTGGCAAGCGGCTTGGCTTCTCCGAGCAGTGACCTGCATAGATTTAACAACTCTGTCAGGAGATGACACAGCGACCAATGTGGCTCGATTGTGCTTCAAAGCACAAAATCCAGTGAGACAGGACTTGCTGGAAAGCATGGGTATGGCAGACAAGGGAATAACCACAGGTGCGGTTTGTGTTTACTCATCCCGCGTTCCGGACGCTGTCAAGACTCTGGAGGATATTAACTCCGAGATACCAATTGCCTCAGTGGCCGCAGGATTCCCAGCAGGTAGAAACCAAATCTAGAACTTTGGATCTCTAGTGCTTAATGGATATTTTAGTTTGGGTTGTCAGTCACTCAAAATTCCCCGAATCAACAGGGCACTTATACGTAGGCAACAAATGCAGTGGGTGTTATACCGTGTAGAAATGTACATCATCTACATGTCACATGTCGGCCGGGGTGTAGGAGGGGGAGGGGGAGGGGGAGAGGGAGGGGGAGGGGTGGAGCCCGTTTTGGGATCCAAGGGACCTGACCTAAACCACAAGAAGCTCCTGCACTTCAAGAGATGTTGCAGCGTAATTGTTGCATGGTTACAGGTATCCAATTGATTACAACTTTTTATAATTGGATACCTATAATTACCTCCTATGCCATATGCATGTCAATTAAGTGCAGTATAATGGGATCCTTCCTTATGTTTATGTACTGTTAAAACTTACAGAAAACACAATTGACTTTGTTGTTCAAAAGAAGTTCATGAAGACTTGTTAATCTCAGAATTTGTTATTGTACAGTGAATAGTATTTGGACCTCATGTTCAATTCAGAGAGTAATCATGCTTGTATATTTAAATAGGCGTCATGCCGTGTGCTCCTCCAATTTTACAATTACTTATCCTTTTACTCCCTCAGTTGCACAGCACTTGGTCCAGAACTTTCCTGTTACTTATTGACACTAGCCTGCGTAGTAGGCGTTAAAAGTGGAAGGGGAGGCAAAACATGGATGGAAGGAGGGGGACTGGGCACATATAAGTACATGTATACTTGGATGAATTGTGTATGTCCATAGCCTTGCGAGTAACATGTAATGGGGTTTAATTTTAGGTCAGACTCCACTCAAGCAAAGACTAGAGGAAATAGAGACAGCTGTTGCTTCAGGTGCCACAGAAATTGATATTGTTATCAGCCGAGCATTCGTGCTTGAAGGAAACTGGGAGGCACTCTACAATGAAGTGCAGGCAATGCGCAAGGCTTGCGGAGAAGCCCATCTAAAAACAATTATTGCCACAGGTATTTTTTAAACTTGAATTTTGTCATAGGCAATCAGGCTTTCCTGTAAATAATAGTATATCAAAGTTACTTTATTTCTGACAATGAACTGACAACTGGTTGACAATTTCAAAATCTCTGCTCGCAGGTGAAGATTACTTTACTCGTCACCTCTGAGTTAAACAAATCAGAGAGCACTTACAAGTGCAGTACATGTAATTATTGAACCTCTTGCTTGAGATTTGTGCAAGCTGTAGGAGGTGTGATTGACTAGTTTTATTTTATTGTTCTGAATCTACCATAACTATTTATACTATTGAACAAAGGATATTGATAAAACTCTAAGGAGGGGTATTGTTGATTCCCTTTGGTAATTTGTTATTGTACGGAAAAACTGTATATTTGTTCAGAGGGTCTCTACTGATAAATAAAGATACTAAAACTTGGACATTCCACCATGGAAGTCTGCCAATTTTTGAGTTATTTTTTTGTAAAAAGAATACCTCTTAGTCGGCATGTTGGGCATGTTACGGGTCAATGGGTGAGTGAGAGATGTATGTATGTCACACCAATCAGATTGGATCTACTAT